AAGTCTGCATTTGTCTGAGTTGAAGAAACCTCGGTGCTTGACGCAATCCGATGCATTGATGCAGCAAACACCAGGTACTGTCAATAGAGCTGTAAATGCTGTCATTGGTCACTGAAACGCTGCCACAGCCGTTCTTGGCATATCAAGAAGCATCTGAGATGCTTGGTAGTCGACCTGTCGAGCAGAGCTATCGTGCGAATCGCCGTGAAGGCATGTCAAGAGCTAATCCTCCGGCACTGCGCTTCGGGGGGCACGGCGGATGGCGCTTGCGGGACCGTACCGGCCTAGTGCCCACGCGAGCTCAATCGCGGGCTTTACGACCTTCGAGTGAAGAAACGGACAACCCGGTGTTTCCTGTCATTTTCTTCGTCGGGGTTCGGAAGCCTGCCGGATCCATGATGGCAGTGGTCAAGCCGGATGACCGGGACATCGGCCAAGAAGTGACGCGTAAGGCCGCTGGAGGATCACGACCCCTACGGGCTTAGCATCGACAGCATGTGCAGCCAGTTTGGCAGGGCTCGTAGGGTTCAACGACCATGGGCGGTGCCCTTCACGTCATCCCACCCAATCCTCGGCGCTGGGCTTCGCTGGGCTTCGTTGGGCCAAGAGGTCGTTCGTGAATATGTGGAGGGACACCCAAGATTGATCGATGTGGGCTGAGGAAGCGTGCCGAGGGCCGCTGCCGAGTTTGAATACTGTTGTGTTCCAACCCGCGGGTGCCGTCTCTTTACACCAAGGGAGCGAGAATAAGACACGAGCCACAGGAGTCCGACTCGACTGCTTCATTCTTTTGCACGCGTTGCAGCGAAAAAAAGGGACGATACCGAGCTCGGGGCGGCAGGCACGCAATCCACAGGGCCGCGCCTCTTGCCCATTCTTGCCTCGTTAAGGACTCAAGGGAGGCAGCGACGATGCGAGGCAAAAATGGGTGCTGCTTTCCGTCATTCAGTCCTACCTCCTTTGCCCCCCCACCGCCGGGCCCAGTGTGGCTGATGATTAGCGCTCTCACAGGGGAGTGCTGCTGCTGTTGCTGATTGGACCGAGGCGCGGGTGGGCTGCGTATGAGGTCATCGGCCAGCTTGGAGTCACTACCCTTTTTTTTCTTCGGGAGCCGTGGGCCCACGTCATTCTCGTCGTTCCAGGCCACCATAGTAGGTGCTAAGGTTGCGATGGCAGGGCTGGCGTGCACTGCGATTGTAGGGGCGAGGGCGATTCAATCGAGTGACTTACGACATGGGCGAGCCAAGTTGGATCGTGGTTGGCCGACGCGTACGCATTGAAAGGGCGACGGCCAGTTGGCAGTGGGCAGTGGGCAGTGGGCAGTGGGCAGTGGGCATCGGCATCGGCACCTGACGCCCGGGAAAGGGCAGGATGCGCAGGCAGGACCTTGACCCTGACTCCGGCTGTGACGCGGCTTGGGGCAATCTCGTCAGGGCCTGCGACACTACTTAATTCCACGGGCCCGACAGCTGCGTCCAGCTCCGCATTCCCAGGCTCGACTTTTCTCATTCTAATCGTGACAAACTTTGACGATTCTAATTATACCTACATACAACAGACAACAACGCGTCTCGCATCTTGACCCTCTTGGCCCTTGGGTGCACCTGCTCCTTCTACGTCTATCTTGAGAGCGCGACGCCCACTCGAGCGACCATCACGACCGGCCTCTTTCGATCATACGACTCAAAACGCACACTCGTCCTCAAGAACCCTGCATCGCCGACGGCCACCCGCATTATACCCACAAAACACGACCCCGACGTCTCCTCCACCATGGTTTCCCTCGGCCTAGTGACGATCGCTCAGATCGTAGCAGTTGTATTCTGCATCATCGAGCTTGGTCTGTCCGGCTTTGGTACGTTTGCTTCTCTGCCCTCTCCAACGCGCTGCTCTGGTTTCTCGAGCTGACTTGGGGCTTCTCGCAGTCGCCAGCGCCTACTGGTGGCACTCGCCCGACATTGTCAACTTTATCATCTTCTGCAGCGTTTGGTCGCTGCTCGTGCTGGCCTACCTCATCCTGACGCCCATGTTCATGGAGCGCCTCTTCCACCAGCTTGTCTCGCTCGGCCTCCTCGCCGTGACGACGATTTTCTGGTTCGCCGGCTCCATCGCACTCGCGACGTGGACGGGAACGCCCAAGTGCGACAACTCGTGGTGCAGCTCGGCTCAGGCGGCCGTCGCGTTCGCCTTCTTCATCTGGGCTATCTTCACGGGCCTGCTGGTGCTTGACATTATGACAGTGATGCGCTCGCGCGGCCACTCGACCTCGCACGCCAAGGCTGGCCACGGCAACGGCGCCACCTACCCCGGTGTCTGAGCGCTCTGCGCGCGTCACCCAGTGCCTGAGCACCTACAAAACAAACGCGGCAAACGACGGCAAATAAACGAGTGCCGGATTGCGGATGATGGCTGGAGAGATACCCCCTTATTTTATTGCTTGACTTTACGACTGATGCAGGACTGGATATTCCCCGGAGCAAGGTTGTCTGCTTCTTTCCTTTTCATTTCGTTCTGGCGCAGGATGGGGGTTGACAAAGGAGTTGCGGGGGTGGCTGACAGGCTTTTGCATTGCCACTACCACTACCATAAACACATGTCTGCGACTGCGATCCGATGGATACCTTGCAAGTGCGACTTTTGATGATCATAACGATGGGCAGTTGCGTAGGTAGGCAGGGTGATGGAGGTAGGTAGTTTGAAATGACAGATCCCCCGTACCAATTCTGATGCCACCCCTTGTCCTGCCCTTTCCATGTTCAACCCAGCCTCTCTTCGTTGTTGTCGCCTCCTCTTCGGCGATGTTCCCTGTTCTACCTTGACAGGCAGATAATGTGCATCGTGGTCGGCGCCTCGAGGCACCAAGGCACCACCTGACGAGCCGGTGCCTTGTACTGGCCAAGAGTCCGGCCAGTCACGTCAAGGGCGCAACCTCAAGGACGTCAGTGAAGCCCCATGACAGCGAATGACAGCGCCAGGCGGCCGCACGCTGTCCCCGCGCCGTCTGCACTAGCACCCCTGCCGATCTGTCGGTCAACCCGTGTCGTCCCAAGCCTCCCCGTCCGAGCAAGCAAGGCATGGGCAAGGTAATGTTACGCTTGCGCTCACGTTCAAGCGCAAGCGCAAGCTCAAGCTCAAGCTCAAGCTCAAGCTTAGGCTCACAAACTCACGCGTAGCGATCAGCGAGGAGCTCGACTTTGCAGGGCGCAGACCCTCCCTGCGCCGAGGTCACCTGGCAACGAAGACAGACACTGGGCAGCCCTGACACACAAGATTAGAATGAGTTATCCTGCCTGTTCGGTGCCGCCGCCGACGACTGCCGCCGTCCCGCTCTCGTCCAAGGCTACCAGACCCCAGACATTTCGTTTCCCGCTTCTTGTCGTAACCCTCTCCAGCCCGGCCGATACCCCTCACACACCTCCCAGGATGTCCAAGGTTCTACAAGGTCATGCCAACCCCACGTGCCAACGCAAAGCATTCTCTACGGCCTTGGAGACCGCTCTTCTCTCCGGGCCTCTCCTCAGACATGGCATGACGCCGTCTTCTGCAGAACCACCTCGAGAAGACACG